AGTACTTTATAAGATCTGCTATCATCATGACCAAAAAAACAAAGAGCTTTAAGTTTCAGGACAACAGCTATTTATGACAGAGTTTTCTTTACCTGGCTAAGAATTTTCATCCCTGAGTGCAACAGCTTCTTTGCAGCTTTATAATAAATGGTCTCTGGTTTGTTGTAAATCATAGCATTAGTGCACATTAGCTTGAAGTTATCCTGTAGAGATAAAAGGGAGGAAATGCATTAAAACAAAATAAAGTATCCTCCTATCCTGGTTTGACATAATATAGGTACTTGAAAAATTAAATAAAAACATACAAAATCCTCTTATTCTTTTAGCTCACTGTTTTAGTAAACAACATCAATAGCAATTAAATTTTAAGACTCAATAACCAAATACTGCTGAATTAAACATTTCACTATTCTTTTCCAAATTCCTATTCCTATATAAAACTTTAAATTCCAAGATGAAATTTCTAAATGGGTTTCTTCAGTATTATCTTCCTGCACAAAAATAATTAAATGTTAATATTTCTATTGAATATTTAAATGGAATAATCTTAAAATTGAGTAATTTGTGTAATTAAACATAATTTTAAAACATTTTCAGTTTCCGTTTATGAATTAAATATTTTATTTCCGATCTTGACTGAAAACTGGGAACAGAACTAAATTACCATGACATGTCCTACCAAATTCAAATTAACCGAGCAAAATTATAAAAACATTTACACTAATTTTCTTTTAAACATTTGAATACTATTATGAACTAAACACAATTTGCAGAATGTTGTTAAATCATGCCAATGTGAGATAAACCATACAGGCTCAGAGTTAAAACATGTAACTGGACAAGTCAACTTATCAAAACTGTACTTCTGATTTAAATTTGAAAGTATGCACTTTCAAACTGATTGAGGGAACTCAATCCCATAGCATATTTTAATCATTAAGTAATTTCTACATTGTATAAATGTGAGTGATTATAACAAGGCTATGCTAAGTTAAAAAGACAAACACACCCCCAAAAGAATGTGTTCCTCCAAGAAAAAATAAAAATCCAAATTCCAAACAAACCATCCAAATCCTACTGCTTAATAACAGCAATGATAGATTAGAAAACAGAAATGGAATAAAAATAGATAAAATGACTTTACTTAAAAGTGTATGAGAAGACAGCTTGAGGGTTACAATAAATCTGTATTGAATTTAAAATGAAGTACATGCGGATTTCTCAGTTCCTGGCCAAGTCTGCACCCAGGATTTTGTTGGGTCCTGGAGCTGTAAGACCCTAACGAAAGCCATGGGTCCATCTCTCATATGCGCACGTGCACGTACATACACAGAGTTGAACAAAAACATTTTCATGTAATTTTAGAGGTCCTGGTCCCACTAAAGGCTCATCTGCGACTACCCAAAGGACCCAAGGTTAAGCATCTTTGTTATGGATATTCTGAAAAGTTTCCATTTTCCACAAGAATTATTTAATATATATTTGGGAAGAGGAAAGGCAAGTAAAGGGAGATAGTAGATGACTACCACTCATACTAAATGGGCCTATACCTGGCAAGAGAGTAATGGATTATTCTACTAATTCCAGTTCGGATCTGTTAAGGCAATTTGTAGATTCTATACATCTTAACCATAATGTGCTAGGCTTTTGTGTAATGGAACTAGGTCACTCAAACAGGGGAATGACTTTTCTAGGTACTTTTCATTTAATTTAAAAAAACCAACTTGCACAGCCTATTAAGCCTATTTATTGAATTAACTAGTAAATAATGCTCTTGGCTATTGAATTTTCCCTAGGAAAACATGTAGTAACGCAGAAAACTCCAAAGACAAAAACACTGCTCATTTCAAATATGATATTAACCACCTGTGCAAAAACACCTGGTTGCACACTTCTCTTTCCTGTCAGCCTAAGAGAAAATCAGAGGAAACTGTCCACCAAAGAAAAAAGAATTATGAAAACTTTTTCTATTATGCAACAATGTCAGGAATATGCTGAAATAAACAGCTCTAGACTAATTTTCACCAGAAAAAATTGGGAAAGTGTCCATTTCTCTGATTACAAGAGAATATAATTCAGTTTTTTCAGAGTAAGTAGAATATTACCTATACACTCAAATTGATGGTAAAGATAGAATTAAATACTGGCATTATTCCTAAGTCTCAGCTGATAGACATCTGCACGGAAAAAAGAGACCAAGCAGAGATAATGTTTACAGTCTTATTTTTCTTCTGTAACTAAGGATTAAGCTGTAGGTCCCATGAACATTATAATGGTCAAACAGAAAAAATAAAGGTCACTAGGTTTTATCTAATCCAGTTGAGGACAGAAATTTAAAAACATTTCCATTTATTTAATGATCGGTATACCTCTGAAGTCAATATACACTGAAACTAGTCAAATGGAAAAAACGTCAACCATCACATTAGGCACCTACATCACCTCGGCGGCCTGTAGACTCTTATGTTTTTCCCTCTTAAAGTTGAAGAAAACGTGTTCAGCAAACACAGTTAAAAGCAAACTTAGAGGGAGCAAGTGCCTTTCATCAAACTAAAAAAATGTAACTACTGCTGGACAAATCAATTTAGTTTTTATTTTAGAAGACACTCACACCTTAGATATCCACAAGAAAAAGAAACGAGTGTAATTCAAGCTTCATTAAAATATGACTTTTACCCACATTGACCTAATTAAACACCTAATCAAACACCTTTTCATATTAAAGGCTGGAGAAAATCTGCTGTGGAATATATGAAATTCAAATTTTTTCTAAAAATAAATGAGGCAATGTAGTAGGTGGCTTATTTCATCCTGTTTTCTATCATTAAGCTCAAAGGCGTTTTCTAAGACAGAAAAAAACAAAGATTTTGAATACTAAAGTAAATTTAATTCTTTGGAAAACAAAAAGTCAAGCAAAAGATCCCGAATACAGGCATAAAGACAGGATTCAAGAGTTTGCCTCTCGACTGAATGAAGACACGTGCTTTCTACTACAGGGCGGTGCTTCTCCGCTCCCAACAGTCGTCAGGAGTTACCTTCAGCTCCTCAATGGACTGGTAGTCATTGTTCCTGATCTTTTCTTTCATGGTACTAAAATCCATTGGGTGTTTGATGATCATGGAGTAGCCCGGAGCAATAAAATCAGTCACAGGAAATGAAAAGAAAGCACTTGGGTCTTTTCTGTGAAGATATAAAAAAGGTGATTTTATTTCCATTATAAACAAATCTGGTGGTCTAGAAGCACAAGTCAGAGGAAATGCTTCTGATGTAGAAAAAACTCGTTTTTCAGTGAAAATTGCAGGGATGATTTTAAAGACTGATAACAAAGTTAATTAAGATGTTTTACACACTACTTGTATCTTTTAAAATGTGTAGTCTTAACAATGATGTAAAATATATATAAATAAAAACAATTAAAAAAATAAAATAAAATGTGTAGTCTTAATTATTTGTAGCACCTCAGGGAAAAACGAAGCAAAAAAGACTAGACTAACTGGCCTTCGTGATATTAATACTCTATATTTTTAGCAATCTCAGAAGAAAGAACACAAACAATAACTATGGATACACATCTATAATCTTCTTTGCACCTGTGTGTACATTTTCTTAATCAATGGATACATCTCTTGTATATGTGTTTCTGTCTGTGTGGCGGGTGGAGTATGCCCAAAAACCTGACATTAAAAGATTCTCCTCAGGCCTCCCTGGTGGCGTAGGGTGAAGTCTCAGCATTGTCACTGAGAAGGCCTGATTTCCACCCCTGCAAAGGTTGGAGTCTGATCACTGGTCAGGGAACTGATCCACATATGGCGCAGCACACCTCTCCTGTCTTGCCCGCTGTTCCCCTCAGCAATGTATTTCAGTAAATTTGCCTGTTCTGCTCCCTACTCTGCTTCTGGTGAATCTTCTCACCCCCTGTACCTTTGGCCTACACACCAGTTCTTCTATGCACAAACAAGTAAATATTAAAAAAAAATTCTCCTCAAAACCCTCAAACTTGAAATAATCAGTGCTTTCTATTGTAAGCTCTTAACTAACTGATTATGTATAAGAATCATTAGAGGAGTTTTAAAGCATTTCAGTGGGATGGGGGAGGTTCACCCTAGACATACTACATCATCCCAACACCGCAGAATCTCTTACAGGAGGAGGGCGGGGCAAGGCATTGGTATTTTGGGGGTTGAGCACTGGTACTGGTATTTATTTGGCATTGGTATTTGATAGGCTTGAGAACCAATGCTCTATATGATTAATTCACTTTTCTGATTTTTTTCCCCCTCTGAAAATAGGACATACCACTTTCTTACTCCAAATAATCATAATAAAAGTGGTCTAAGAATAATAACAGCAGCAATTTTTAAAAGGCTTTGACCATGTGTCAGGCCTAGTATTAGGTAGGTACTTGATGTATTCTGTATGTAATCCTCACAAGTCATCAAGGTGGCGGTACCCTCCTGTGGAGACGCAGATACTAAGGTTCAGAAGGGCCAAATCATTAGTTTTAGGTCATAAATCTGACAAAACTTAAGAGCCAGAATCTGAACTCAGGTTTATGTGAATTTGCCTTTGTTCTTCCCAGAGGTATCCCTAAGCAGTAAGACTAAAAGAAATAATGAGAATAAGCAAAAACCCCACTTATATCCAAATGCGTGCTACCCATAGTAGTTAGTGTGAGTAACAATACTAATCATGTTGGGATGACCTCTTTGGAGTGAATTTTCTTCAGATGATTGTGACTCTAGATTTTAATTACCTGAATGTTTTGAACAATGTGAATACCCTTGGACCAAGAGAAACACTGTTACGTATATTTCTTTTAAGGTGATATCACTCTAGTCTTATGGTAAAAGGAATAAAATTAAAAGTCAGCTAAAACACTTCACAGTTCCAAATTCTAACTGAGATGGAATGCCAATATTTACCCATTCACTCCCCTGGGATAAGAAATGATTTATTCTAGCATACTAAAGATATAAAATATGTTCAACTCTCTGTAACACCAAAAAGGAAGAGAGAACACTAATTTCATCTTAATTACAAACCTGAATAGGTGTCGAATACAGACAGCATTATAGATTTTATCTTAAAACATTATTTATGATGTGTTCTGGGGTGGACATCTAAGTACACCTCAGTGAGAAGAAAGTTCATTATTAGAATACATACCCTAGTCATGAATCCTCTACAAAAAATGTAAATGTTTCTGAATTGAAAATTCAATTTCTGAATAAAGAGGCAGCAAAATAAGTATTTTTAAGAAAGATTAAGCTTTTTCCATTTTAAGAACTTAACATTGGCTTAATATAGCGAAATTTTAAAAACAATTTTCTGCATTTAAGAGAGGGTTACAAATCCTATTACTGGCATTTTTTTCTTTTTCTAGATTTAATAGCTTTTGAATAACCATAGCATAAGCATTATACAGAAAGCACTTCCATCTATCAGCAAAATAAAAATATCTATTATTTTCTCTTGGGTTAGAAATTTAGCATCAGAAGTTACTTTAAAGAAAAATCTGACATTAAAAGTATTATTTAACACTCAAGTTGCCAGTTAAAACAAACTAAACAAGAACATCTAAAATCAGTTTCTTGGAGTACTTTCATTGCCAAGCATAATGTTTATCATTCACTTTAAAATCCAGTACATTTGGATTTAGAGCACAAAATGTAGCTTTAAATAATCAAATCATTAAATATTATAAAAGGTTTGAAAAAGCACTTACCTCTGCAATTGTCTCATCAGTTGATTCAAAGCTTCTTGAAGGGGTGTCTGTTCTACCTCTAAAGAAAGGGAAAAACAAGGAAAAGGGTGTTTTTAAAAGGAAGATTCCAGATTATCAGCTCATTATCTATGTGATTTCAGCATATCTATTATTTAGTATCTCATACAGAAATTCCACTTATAAATGCTGAAATATGAGAACATAAGTTCAAAACTGAAGCTAATTTAAGGTCTTGTGCAAAAGTTTAAAAATAAAATTTTAGTTTAAAAAAAAAAAAAAAAAAGCTAGAAACCCAGTCATTTTCCCTGGCTATGACTCTTAAAATAATTTCAACCTTCTCATTAAGGACAGCTACTCAAAGTTATTCCAACCTTCTTGTTTGGCTAAAGAGCTGGCAAGAGGCTTCTCAGGAGGCAAGTCTAATCTTACAGGCGTCTGACATTGAAGATCTTTTTCTGCCTCAGTCTCCACACGGTCCCGATCTCGCTTCCTTTTATCCTCCTAGATAGGACAATGAGAGGTTATTTAGAGATACTCTAGAGTCAATATCTTTTAAAAAAAATCATTTTAATTTCAGTGAAAAAAGAATACCACTGAAAAGAAAGTAATTCTTAATGATGAAATCTTCATGTATTTTATCGCCATCTACTGGAAGAAGAGAGAATAACAGCCTCATGGGGGGGGGGGGGGGGGGGGAGAAGGTGCTTCTACAATACAAGAATAACCAATTAGAAAAATAATACTAGGGCCTCCCTGGTGGCGCAAGGGTTAAGCATCACACTAAGAAGCAATCCGCAGCCTCTGCAGCACGAGTTCGATCCCCGGCCAGCCAGGGAGCAACCCACATGGCACAGCCAACCTCTCCTGACTCGCCTGCTGCTCCCCTCAGCAGTGTACTTTGGTCAATCTGCCTGTACTGTTCCCCACTGTCTCTGGTGAATCCTCTCACTCCCCACATCTCTGGCCTGTACCCCAGCTCTTGTATGCATAAATAAGCAAATCCTTAAAAAAAAGAAAAAAAGAAAAATAATACTATTAACAAAAGCAAGGTAACACATCTAGGAATAAACCAAATAAGATTTGCCAATATCTTTTGGGGAAAATTATGAAACAATATTGAAAGGTTATTGGGAAAGAGGTACCTAAAGGAGATATAGTACTGTGTTTATCAATGTAGAGACATTTTCCCAAAAGGAACTTATAAATAAAATGTAATGCCAATGAAAATTGCAAGACAGGATTTCCCAAGGAATTTGAAAAGTCGATTGTCTCATTCATCTTGAAGAGTGAATGATCAAGAACAGTCAGAACAGCTTTGAGAAAGGTTAGAGCAAGACATCGTATCAGATTATATTACGTATTTATATAGTGATAATTAAGATGATGTGAGTTGTACACAGGCTAGACAAATATTAGCAGACCATAGAGTCCAGAAATACAGCCATGCCTTGTATTCTGAAAGACCACTTGAAATGCTACTTCTTGAGCAAAGTCTTCTGTGATTTCCCTCTAGCTCCAAGAAATCTGGAGCTTTAGAACTAAAATTCGGCCTGTTAGGGCACTGATTTTATTCTTCTGTGTATTATATGAAAGAGATGCTCATTTGAATACTTTTTCAGACTTAAGTCCTCTTAAGAGCAGGATTTGAGTTCTTGTTCAGGCACTGACTATGTGATCTTGTGCAAGTCACTTAACCTCTCTGAGCCTTAGTTTTTTCATCTATAAAAAAAGATAATATGATCCAGATATTCTAGGAGAGATGCTAACTAAAGAGCTGCTCCCAGAGGACTGGGAGATAAGCCTCTTTCCCCTGCTAGATCCTGAAATATCGGCATCCAGGTAAGTCTTCTCTCAGGAGGGGAGGGTTTTTCTCTGGAGAAACTGAAAAGCCCAGAGAAAATATCTGTAGGGTAGATATTTGGGGGATCCCCAACAAAATAACCCAGTCTCTCTTAGTAACTCTACATAAAGATAAACTCTGTCTAAGCACAAAGCATTTAATCTACTTCTAAACTTTTTTGCTGCATGATTAAATACAAAGAGACTACAAAGGCTTAACAGAAAACTAGAGGATGCTTTTAACATAAGAGATGAAACAAACTGAAGAACTTGAGGGGAAACAGAGACAATGCAGGCAACAAAGAAAACTTTCAAGATAGCAAAAAAACTTCAATCAATATTCTCAGAGAAATAAGATACTGCATGTAAAAAACAAGGGCAGGATGTTATTAAAACAAGGACACTTAGAGAACAAGAAAGAGTTCTTGGAAATTCAAAATATATGAGCTAAAATAAAACTCCACAGCAGAGTCAGAAGATGAAGTTTAGAACTCTCCTTGAAGGAAGATTACAAGAAAACAAAGAGAAGGAAAAGAGGAGAGAAAACCCAAGCACATTAGAGGATCAGTTTGTGAGCCCAATACAGAAATGGGCTTCTCTAGAGAGAAGAGAGTCAGTGGAGGGAATGTACCATCAGGACTGCTTCAAGCACACGCCTCAGAGCTGAAGGTATGCGTTCTCACTGTGAAACAGAGCAGGAAGAGAAAGCGGGGAGAGTCTGAAAATTTCAAGGGGGCAAATACTACCTATAGGCAATGGACTAAGAGAGTCAGAATGGAATACATTTTTCAACAGCAAATCTGGAAGCCAAAGGACAAAAGAGCAATGCTTTAATAATTCTGGGAGAAAATAACTTTCCATCTATAATTACATACTAAACCCATCAACTTATATGAGGGTAGAATAAAAAATTGTTCAAATGTGAAAAACTTACAAAAATACACCTCTGATGAATGTTTTCTTAGGAAGTTCCTGGAGTTAATACTGCACCAGAACAAGGGAGGCAGCAAAAGGAAGAGAACAATTAATCCAGAGTAGAGTCTGAGAAGGCGCTTCAAGACAGACGTCTCAAATGAGAATATATGAGCATGTGAAAAATGGAACTCATATGGGTTAGAGTTTGGGAAGAATCAGTGCAAAACCACCAAACAATGAAAGCAATTACGCATTTGATCAAAATCAGATCTGTATCTGTGTAGGACATTTGTCCCCAGTGAACAATAATTAAACACTGAATACTGATTTAAGCAAGAACTGGGAGTACATATACTGGGAGAAAGGAAGGAAGGAAACTGAGGGAGCAGAGTGGCTTAATGGAATTCTCATCTTCTGTAACGTGTCAGTAAAACAAGTCAGCTGACAAATCATTAAAGTGTGCTAAAAAAAAACCTACATTCAGAAATGGCAATACACCTCCAAAGAAAAAGCTAAAAAGTTTAGGAAGCAAAACTCCAGGATGGAGATTACTTTAGTGTTAAGAGTCAGAGAGCACTCTTGACTTTTTCACACTACATCCATGAATTACTTTACTGTAATAATTAAAAACAAAAAACAAAACAACTGGTTACCTCTGCAGACTCTATGAGGGACTGAAGGAAACTACCCTACTTCCCATTTCATTCACTACTGAACCACCTGATTTCTTTACAAGAAAGTCATACACACATATTTGGCATTTATAATGTGGGAAGGAAAGAAAAATGTCAGATAGTTCTGTATGTTTTCAGTCTAGCTAAAGTCGATGAAAACTGGGGAAGAAAAAGGGTTAAGAAATTCTACAGAGAGAACCTTTAAGATTTTGGGCCTTCCCACTGTATTTAAAGCACACGGACCATAACCATCATATATACACACGGAAGAAAAACTAGAACACTAACTTAGGGAAATCTATGTTCAAGACTGTCTTAATAAGTCTCTGAGTGACAGGCTAACTCCCACAGTGCAGAAATCTAGAATTCCAGGTACAAAGGTGATCATTCTTGGAAAGAAATTATGAGTATCTGGCACATCAAGACTGAGCAGTCACCTGTTTTCTGTTAGCTGCAAACGCTTAAGAAAAAGCTTATTTTGATTACTGGTGTCATATTCCTTAAAGGTCTCTGATCAAACCCTTTCTTTGACAGACTCAAGCTTTGTTTTAAAAGACATAAGTGGCTCATTCCCTATTTGGCACTGTATTTACTTTGCAACAAAGGGGAACCCCAACAAGCCCCTTCACTTTGAATGACTGTTGCTGACAAACTTTCTTAAGCACCACTTTTTCTCCTCCTAGGCGGAAAAAGCACCTTCCAAGCAGCTCCTGAAAATCAGAGAACTTAACACTTCACTCACCTTAAGCGTGAGACCGTCTTAAGAGTAAAATGATAACGCTTTGCTGCAATTCACTGATGATTCACGTTTCTACTCTGCCCTGCTCCTCCACACAAGTCAGATTTTACAGGCGGTTCACAATCAAGTCAAGTCGGGCTGGCGCCGGCGGCGGGGCCGCTTAGAAAGGGGTCCCTCAGCCAAGGAGAAGCAAGGCGATGTTTACCTTTACTCGTCTTCGCTTTCTCCCCTTTTCTTCCCCTGGAACCTGCTTCTCTCCTTTCTTTCTCTTCTTGCGCTTTCTGTCCTTGTGTTTGTCATGGTCGTTCTTGTCCTCGAAGAGGCTGGACTCGTGCCCCGAGCTGCCGGTGGAGAGCTCGGTGACTTCATTACCCCCCACCTTGAGGACCAGCTTCAGGGGCTTCTCCACATACTCTTCAACAAAAGGAAAGCGCCCCGGTTACCGGCGGGCTCGACGGGGCGGTGGGCAGAGCGCGCCGGGGGGCTGTGGGGGCGCGCAGGGGGCGCCCCGCCGCAGCACCTGTTGAGCGACCCCCACTCGCCGAGGGGGTGCCCGGAACGCTCCCGGGCGGGTCGGGGTCGCGCCTCGCCGCCCGACGAGAGCCCCCCCTGCCCGGGGCCCAGGTTCGAACCCGCCGCCGCCCGGGGCCGGGGTCGCTCGGCGGGCCGCGCCCCTCCGTGGACCGGGCCGGGGTCGCTCGGGAGGGCCGGCCCCCGTCGCCCCAGCGCCCCGGGCGAGCTCGACGGCGCGAAGCCCCCGGAGCCGCCGCGAGCGCCGCGCCCCCGCCCGGGCCTCACCCTCGTAGAGGTGCTTCTCCGACTTGTGCTTCTTGTGCTTCTTGCCCATGTCCGACCGGGCCCCGGCGCCCGCCCCCGCGCCAGGCCCAGGCCGTGCGGCGCCGCTTCCGGTCCGGGCCAGGCGAGCGGAGGGGAGCGGGGGCCCGCGAGACCCCGCGCCGCGAGGCAGGGGGACGGCGCGCGCCCGGCGGCGCGAGGCCCCTCTCGAGAAGACGGCGCGCGAGACCCGGCCGCAGCCCGAGCGCGGCGGCAGGTCGCGAGCGCGGGCGCGCAGGCGGGAGAGAGGGGCCGCCGCGCGCACGGGCTGCCACCCGCTTCGCCTGGCGGCCCCTGGCGGTCGGAGGTGGCTCTGC